TTGAGGCTTCCATCTGTCACTTGCCTCTTTATCCCTCTTTTGGCCTCATTTTTGCATGTCTTGTTAGCCCCTTGTGCTTATATTTTTGGGCTCTGGTCCGAACTATAAATGGACTCATTTTGACCCCCTCTTCATGTTTGATCAAGAGCCCTTTGCTTTTTGAGGTTCTCGTTTTGCTCTTTGTGTTTAAACCTCTTTTTAAGCCTTATTTTGAATGGTATCTTAGGCTTGCATGTGCACTGTTTTGGGTTTGGTCACTAACTGTAAAATGCCATGTTTTGGGCCCCTATTCAACTTTTTTTAAGGTCCCTCCTTTGTTTTAGGCCAGAAACCATCACTTGCTTCTTTGTCTCCCTTTTGGCCCATTTCTTGCACAATGTTTTAGGCCTATTTGTGTTTAGATCCGTGGCTTGTTACAAACTGTAAAGTGCTTCATTTTGAGCCCCTCTTCAACTTTGTTGAAGGGCTCTTGGCCATTCAGGGCCAGAAGCTGTTACTTGCTTCATTACCTCTCTTACGGGGCCATTTTTGCACGCTAGTTTAGTCCTATTTGTGTCCACTGTTTGGCCTTGCTTAAAACTGTAAATATGCTTTTCTTAGGACTTTCTTGATTTTGTCTTCACACTTCATGTTCAAATAATGCATGTTTTGTATAGCTATAGGTCATTGCGCATGCCTAGTTTCGTGTTTCGGGGCCATTCCATGCATCGGGTGCCATGTTTCCATGTTTCGGGATCATTTTGCATCATATTTTGCTACTGAAATTTGCATGTTTGCATATCATGTTTCATACCTTGCCATGCTTTGTTAGAGTGGCATTTGTGCCTTAGGATCGGTCCTCGGTTTGTGTGCACGTGTGCACGCATCTCGAGTGTCTCATTTTCATCTAATGGCCTCTTATGTGAGTGTGGCTGAGGTCCACTCATGTTGGTGTAAGTCCATTATGCGTTGTATATGCCATTTCATTACATAGCATTGCGTATGCTAGGTTGTATGTTAGCGCATTGTGTATGCCATGTTATCTCGTGCATCGCGTATGCCATTTCATAGCATTGTGTATGTTAGGCTGTATCTTAGTTGCATTTCATGCATATTGCATCGTGCTTGGGATAAGAGTTAGCCCGAGCACGGGAAACGAGGGACGTTTCGTACTTCGAGTGACAGAACGTGTCTCAATTCCCAATCACCGACACTCCGGATTATCCATGATGGAGTCTAGGCCCTGTTGTGTTTACATGTGCATTCATTTCATATTGAGTTGCACAATTCGACCCGTCGGCTATCATGCATCGAGATGCGTGATTGGTGGCACGAGGATCGAGGCATGCATACATTTGTGAGAATACATTGCCATGCCCTTTTCCTGCTCTCTGTTGTAGCAAATCAATAATCAGTGGCCTTTCAAAAGCCTTGCACAGCATTCCGGCATCAATTGCAAACAGAGGCTAATTGGGGCATCGCAGTGGATTTCTACGCCAAACAACCCGAGCATGCATCATTCATCATCCGAAGCGGAGTCGAGGCAGTCCCTAGCTTGCATGCTAGTTTACAGCTTTCTTAGTTAAATTTCTAATTTAATTAGGACTTTGTAATTATTTGGACTGTAATATTCATTCGGGACTGTATTTTATTCTTTCGGACCCTCTGCGCAAGGGCAATGTTGTAATAAGTGTGCGTGTGTGTGATGTATGTCTTCCAACCCCACGTCTTTCTCCCTTTTATTTACCTGCTTATGATGGTTAGATTAGGGCATGTTTCAATTAGCATACAGTATGATAGCATGTTTGCATTCATTCATCTGTTTTGCATGCACCGGGCTCGGCGCATCATACTAACTGCATTGTATTTTCAA